GTTTTTGACACTGGATGGGACTTTATCGATGCTGCTGCCTGTAGGTCAGAAGAAATAATCCTTTGTATCTAGTGTTTACTATTTGTATTATGAATTTATGAAGATAGGTTAACGGATTGGTCGTTTACACTCTTAAAATCCACCTCCACTTGTAATGACGAGTAAAGATAAGTCGTAATACTAAATTAAATCGAAACTGTTGAACGTCTCACATTGCATCCTAAACGCTTTCACCAGCCTCGGCAGCTTGGCAACATCAGAGTTTACCGGGAAATATCATTTGTGTGTCTACTCTTGGTATTTACATAATTGATTCTGGACTTGAGTCTAAACAAAATATGCGTCAGCTAATAAATTTCAGAGATAATAAATATAACAAAGAATGACATTATATAATAAATCCAGGGCGGTGAGAGACATGGCTAAATTCTTCCAGACTCGAAGCCAAACTTATTTTTTTTTTTGAGAGCATAATGACGGAGGGAAACTTTCAATCCTCCCTAAAATTAGCGAGAAAATTGCGTATGTAGGAATGAATACGGTAGTTGTAGAGAGTGACGTAGTGAAAAAAAACGCACATTCATGCACTTAAAAATATACATTCACAAATACTCAAACATGTATCCATGCACACACACACACACACACACACGGATACAAAACACATGATAAACCTATCCCTCTTACTCTGTGTGACGGAGAGATAAAAGAAATGAAAATAAAACAGCAGCCACAAGAGCATTAGTCAACTGTAAAAAAAAAAAATATTGAAAGTAATCCGCAAAAACGGGAGAAACAGTCGAGTGTATTGACAGCGTCCCCAGTGGCGGTCTACCCGATGTACACACAAACTTTCACGTGAATGTTGCTCTTACTTTTGGCGTCTCACTAATTTCTAAAATGATTCTTCTTTAAGTATATATATATAATTTTTTTTTTGTAGTTCTTATGTGTATATCAGAGATATTTAGATATGTTTATGTAGGTATTTATAGATATATCGTTGTTACAAGACCCCAGGCGCCTCATTCAGACATGGTTCACTCCTGTTGTTCAAAGTTGATATTGTGTCACTGGCTGGTCGTGTGTGCCTTTCCCCTTCAACTATACCACGAAAAAGATCTCTCGCGCTCTCTCCACACACACACACACGAACACAGAAAGACACTCCCCTATATGATTTACTTAAAATTTATACCATGAAATATGAATTAAGCTTAAACGCAAGAGAAAAGAAAAGAAACAGTAGATATATTATCTTCGAAGAGTGACTGTTATAAAATTCACTTAATACACAACCGGAGAATACGAAGAGTAATGGCTACTTAAGGAACATATTACGGCTGACTCAACTCTGTATGAGATTTACGACAGGACCGTGTTGTAGTCTTAAGTTAGAGCGCTGTTTGCCTCCTTTTTCTTTATACCAGGCTGAGTAATTTGACTCTTTCACATATTGCAATTGCTTTCAGTTATGTTGTCTGATGTTCAAATATTTATGATTTTGAGGCATATATAAATTATTAGTGACATACAACATAACTTCCATCCGGAAACTAGATCAGTAAGTGTATTGTACAAAGACTCAGTTATTCTTATGCTGTATTATTCTCTTTCAAATGGTTTAGTGTATAGTACGTTCATATATATGTATACAGTATTTTGTAACTTAACACTCGCACAATGTTCAAGAACGGAGAGAGAGGAACGCACGCACGAGTACTGTATATTCTGAGGTGTTGCGGCTGACACACACACACACACACACACACACAAATTAAACTAAAAACTCAAAATTCTTCTCCCATCAGAAACTTGAGTGTGTTTTAATTCTGGAACCGTAGGCAATACATCTCAAGACCATTATGCTGTTCTTTTCGTTTATAAAAAAAAATCAATAAGCAAAAATAGTTATAAAAGTAGTGTTATCTTTACTAACAGCCAATAGGACATGATTAAACTAGCCGATATTTTCTTTTCACTCGATTAATTTTAAGTTACATTCCTACTTAATGTTACTCATCTGGCCTAGAGGTGTCTTTAATCTCATTAGGCCAGCCTTACTGAGTATGTTTATCTCATGCGTTATCCATTATTCTGGCTCTTGGTCTATTTCACTTAATCTGTACACTTCACGATACTAGAACTCAATTAGTTCAAAGGTGGATAAGATTACCCCTCCCTCCAAAACAACTAGCCATTCAATATTCTATAAAAGAACATGTAGGATACTTTTTTTATTGTTATAGGTAACATGAATATTCAGTATCGGTCTTTTTGCCATAGAATTTTTGGGCTCGTTGAAAGTGTTTTTTTTTTCCTAGGTCTAGTCTGGTTTGTTTAGGTTTGGTGAGGTTAGGTTTGGTTAGGTAGTTTTGGTCAGATTAGGCCAGGTTTGGTTAAGTTAGGCTAGGTGGAGCTGCTCTAGATATTTCTACCTAATGTACACAGTTTTCGCCTCAGGAAAGTAAGGAAGAATCACTGCTTTTGGTAACTGTATAAGTCGTTCGATTACAAAAACACAAAATGTTATTGATGCGAATCCCAGAAATAATTGTTGTTATTCTTTGCCTAATCTATGTAGATATCGGTAACTTGATCTACACCCGTCCACCTGCCTTACACTCCTAACTCTCTGTATACAGTCATAATTCCTCTACAGTAAGAACCCGTTGACCTGATTTACGGTAAACGCTGCTACTCCTCCAATATTCTCTACAACTCTTAAGATAGCCAGCGTTTTGGAGGGTTTGAGGCGCCTTTCACGTTCTCCAAGAATTTCTAACTGTTTGGAGAATCGCAAGATCTCCAAAATGTCTTAAAAGTGATTGGTTTGTAAAATGACTGTTGGAGTACGCCATGGGTGTGTACTGTTACCCTGGTTGTTCAGTGTATGTAAGGGTATGATAGTATGTGAGGTTAAGTCATGGTGACATTAAATAGGAGCTGTCATGGGTTTGTAAGAACACCTGAAGACGGGAATGTCATGACACAATAACTTAGTAAACAGTGAGAGTAAAGAGTTGAAAAGTGTTCCTACCATGGGAAGATTTTGATTCCCTTTAACTCCCACTCCTAAGAAATGATGCGAATAGATCTAGTTTCCTCTACCTCACTTTGCAACGAGTTTATTAACAATTATATACAGGTAAACAGATGAAACTTGTAGTCATGCCAGTGAGAAGCATCAGAAGAAATAAATATCAATGAGAATTTTGAATAATGATGAAAGCTCTACTCACAACAAAACTTTAAACACCTACTAGCATAATGAGTCATGAGCCCTGAATTATTAGAAATTTGTTAAAACAACTTATAAACAACTGTAAACAATAACAGTAACATAGAAACAATAGTCACTTACCTTGTGGGTCTCTAATAACAATAATTAATATTTTACTAACAAACTGAAATCACTATAATGCAGGATGTCGAAACTGGGTAAGACTGACGCAAGACAAGATATGTGATAACCACAAACTGATGAAGAGTGACTGTAACGACAGACACCGCGGAGATATATAATGCCTACAGACGCTGATGGCGAAAATTTCCTAGTTGATAATATTCAGATATTTCCTCAGCATATGTTAATGAGGAACAGAAAGTTGAACAAATTCCTCGGTATAAACTTAACGGAAAACTGAGTAGTATAAAACCAGATCCGATTTTCTCTGGGGGTAAACTATTGAAAATCTCCAACTTCATAAACACTCAAAGTAAACTTAAAATAAACTTTTTTTTTTAAAACTCGAGTAAAAATGAATCTAGAAATTCACCAATATATATAAATTCTAATATTAATTTACGGTAAAGACGATGAACACACAAAAAAAAACAGGAAAAGGAAATCGTCAACGAGACTTAAGTTTTGGCCGATAACAATCATAGGCATAATCCATTGAAGTTTAGACACACGAACCCTTGATAAGACAGGCAATTGAAAGTCGTGGATATTTCATCCTTTTAGATCTAATGTAATGTGTCAGTCTTACGAAATTTATCTCAAGCAAAAAAAAAATCGCATTTGACGTGTTATCTACCATATTCGAAGTTACATCTACCTCGTTCGACAAGTTATATACCGTATTCGACGTGTCATCTACCACATTCGACGTGTTATCTACTATATTCGACGCTATATGTACTACAATCAACTCCACAGTGATGGACGAACTAGCTCAGAGACTAAATACACTTAAGTTATCCAGAAGCTTGACACTGACGGAGGACAACCTTTCTGACGGAGGACGACCTTCCTGGCGGAGTGGTCGGCTGTCAGTCATACGGGAGAGTTGAACATCGATAATTATCATAACTTCGACGTTTCACTCACTCAATGTCGCTTACGAAGTACATTTGTGGTCTTGGGGATGTTATAACGCCCTTAAGAGTTAACAGAACTCATGGAACGCCGAAAAAAACACCCATGTGAAAATTAATAAGGTTGAGGAACGTTAAGTTAATTAAAACAATGTCTTTTAACTCATAAACACCCTAATCTTAGTGTAAAAGATCAATAAACTTCAGGATACGCGGAGGGAAATCGAATGGATTCACAGACAACAGTGAGCGTTGAAGTTCCTTACGTCCTCACGTTTTATCAGACGAGCGAGGGTTACCTGTGGGCGCCTTACCTTACCGCTATCTAGTACACGACACCTACAGTAACTTTAACTCAAGATCACACTCAAAAACCATATGGTCTTTATGCTCTCTGAAAGATTTGACTCTTAAACTAAATCGCAACATCATAAGTTTAACATCTTCGTTAACAACTTCTATAAATTACTAGGTCTGTCACTGTCGATGTAAGACTTACGATCAATATTTATTTGAATTTCATAGACTATACTTCGCAGCATAAAGACTTACTTCAGTATAAAATATATCCGTTTCTAACAGTACGCAGACACACCTACTCTCCCAAGAAACCCATAAATGAACAACGAAACACCGACATCATTCCAACCCACCTATCCGTAACACATTCCACGCACCTACCTGAGTCGACTGGGTAAAGTTGGTTGACTGGAGATGTAAGAGGCGAGCGAGTCGGCCTGATACTGCTGCTACGAGGTGTGCGTAGACTCGAGACCCAACGGGAAGTGGACGGGTGCGAGCGGCGTCACCTGTATATATACCTGCACGTTAGTCACGCCCCGCCCCTCACCGCCCGCCGACACCACCGCTGACATTTCGGTGTATTGTTGACGTCACAACCTGAGCTGCCAGGCTGGGGGCATCTCCTTCATACACAGCCATATTCTTTGTCTTATTTTGTTTACCAGGTAACTCTTTCGCGTTATCAGAGCGAGTTAGAGTAAACAACCAGGTGTGTTTGATTGACTGGTATAATATAAGAAATTAATGAGCGGTTATACTACAGTAATTAACAAGAACAGGTGGGAATATCTACGGTATAAAGAGGAGAAACTCTTCGTCTTTCATCATATCTTACGTTTTGATCATACGCCCACAGGCACCACTACCCCCGCCGCCCGCCCACGTTATAACTCCCCGCCTACTTTACTAGCGTACGTTATCAAGCCACTTGTCATGTTATCATCTCCACTCCAACGTCACCACGCTCCTGCCGACGTTATGAAATCTCCACCTTCCCTAACAAATCCACGCCCATGTTACCACATTGCCCCCACATTATCCACATTATCACAAACTAATTACCACACCCACTTTAATACACCCACATAATCACCCCAAGCCCATAATGCAACACCCATGGTAACACGCCAACGTCGATACACCCACGTAGCCACCCTCACACCCACACTATAACACCCATAATACCCCACCCATAATAATACGCCCATAGAGCCACCCCTACGCCCATATTACAGCACTCGAATCAATACACCTACAAATACCAGTTAATCATCAAGTTAACATGACCTAGAGATTAGCAGTCTTTATAAATAGGAAAATCTAATTATTTCTTTCTTAATATACTGACAAAACTCTTTTCCATTTTCTTCGTTAACGCTACAAGGTTTTTCCCTCACTGTTCAACTCCTACAGTGTTTTCAAGTCCATGGTTGTTTATTTTTCTCGATAGATAGCTAAGGTTACTTCTTCTGTATGGCATATTCTGAGACGTGTTGGGTGACTGTTTTAACTTTAGTCCTTCACGATTTGTTCTTTTATAGAAATCAAACTCAGAGACAGACAGACAGATATGCATATACAGTATACACACACATGCATGCACGCATACAACTGTAGTCACACATACATCACGCATACACTTACAGATACACACACAACACACACAACACACACACACACACACACACACACCTGAATGGAATATAATGTCCATATCAGACCATCGTCCCTCTCTCGACTTTTTTGTTTCCTCTGCTCACTCATCACATTGTTAATCCTGTTAGCTGGCGGTGAATTATATTTCCTCCGTATCATATCAATATAGGGGTGCGGCGGCCGAGTAAATACAGCCCTTGTCTCCTGACCTAAGACGCTTTTGTTCGATCCTGAGGCAATTTCGGTCCACCCAACTGTAAATGGGTACCTAACTTTACAGCTGAGGAAGTAAAACCTGTCGAGTGCAGTGCCGATCACACCGCCATGAACGAGTGGTCAGTAGTCAGCACTGTGATGAGGACAAGTTAAGTGATTTAATATGAAGGAGGAGCAACAGGGAGGATAATCTGTAAACAGTCAGGGAGAAGCATCCGATTTTCTTTGCTTTATCTCTAGGCACGACTGTCCGTTAGTGTCAGTATGGATACAACACTATATACTAAGCCTTCGGTATACAAGGAGTCAGCAAGGCTGGTACTGTGCTCGACATCACTTCCCATACTGTAATGTTAGGTACGCCTTTACAGCTTAGTGGATTGTGAGTGGCTTGTAATCTACCCAGTGATCATTAGAAGATGAAGCGAGTGCTGTCTCCACCCAGACACCTCACCTCTTTATATACAGCAGGTGAACCATACCTCCTTGTAAAATGTTCAGCCATCCCAAGTGACTCACTCACTACTTGTTGCTTCTCAACCTAAATGCGTAGATAAACAAACTCTGCAATCACTGAAATATCATTAAATTAACTCGTGTGTATTTCAGTACTGGAGTGTGATTTTGGTGACTTCTATCTTCACCTTTATAAATTTTAGGGTTAAGTGACATGATAAAAAGCTGTTTACATTTTTGGCTGGTTCATCATCATCGTCGTCATTTGTAAGAACAGTCAGAAACCATAATCTCAGGCCCTCTAGGTTGAACGAGAGGTTAGGCTAGGAGTGGTGTTTCTGGTTGGAGGCTCACTGTGATGGCCACGTGGCCATACACACACGAACACACATACGGATGAATAGTTTGACCAATCTATCACTAGTAAGTCTACGGACTTGGCGCACCCACATTCAACCACAAGTAAACTGAAGAGTTCAGGCTGGGCACCGCGGACAAAACCAATGTAGCCAGGAAATTAATATTTGATGTTAATGATATTTCTATTAAAAATGATTCTAGTCAGTTGTTCATTGCCATTTCAACACTAACATTAATATCTTAATGAAGTGATATACCAAAGTTGCACAAATTGAAACAACAATAATTTACATTTCGACAAGTAATATCTACAACTAATATGTCCTTTAAAACTGATGTTAGGAGTAATATCACAATCAGTGTGGTGATTAATGCGATGGTGTTTGTGGTGTGTGTGATGATGGTGCTCTTCTGTGTGGTGAGTGTGATGATGATGATGCTTCTCTTTGAAATATCTTATGCCTTATATATCACATAGGCTTTTGTATAGAGATATTCTTAACAACTAATTACAAGAGTTATTATATAATATTTTTTAAACTGAGTAAAAAAAAATGTCGATGTGTTACTGTTGGAGTTACTTCATGAAACTTATTATTTCCTTGCTGGTCATAGAATAATGATGAACCACAGCTGTATATCCGCATGGCAAGGTATAGGTCCGGTGTTGTCAGAAAAATTTAAACACGTCATGACAGGATATTTCTACCACACTTCACCACCACCTATCCTATTCCCTTGTTTTTATTTTTCAACCACCCGTGTGCGTGGGTGCGTGCGTGTCCGCTAAATAGGGATAGAGGAATAATCTTTTTTTGTTATGACTGTAAATTAATTTGCGTATGAAAATAATTTGTACGGTTTCATATAAGACTTCGTTTACAATCATAAATATTCACATTATGCCTAAAGCAGGTTACGCTACTTTACGTTGCGTGTAAGAAAACATAAGGAAAATCATAAATATTGGATTGCCGGCCATTAACTTGGTAAAACTTTTGTATTGACTAATAAGTGATGCCTTCATGAGCCTTAAGGCATTGGTGCTTTAATTCTCTAGCGTTGTTGTATGACGAACATTGATAGCATTAAAAATTTTGATTACATTTGCCGAAATACTGATAGTTACGAAACACTGCTAGCATGTATTGGCAAGGGCAGCCCAGAACCTTCAGGAACTCCGCCGAGTGGATCCCATAGATATCGCTTAGATGTGTGATGTTGATGTTTTACAGGTTAATATTTATAGACAGGCAGCAGGAGTTGTCTTGACAGCCCAACGATGTGTTTAATGTACCAGAGAACTGTGTCTGTTAACGTAAAGCATAAAACTTGGCCTGCATCTGTAGTATGGCTATGACAAGATTATGTAGTGTGGGACATCATTAGAGTACTCCTGTGTTGGACTAAGGAGACATAATCCAAAACTGCTGCAACAATATGTCCTTTTAGCAGAGGTTAGTGGACATGTTATTGGTCCATCAGACATATTTCATCCGTCTCCTCTCTCGTGAACGTAAACACAAGTAGTAGGTGATCCTGTAAGCAATGTTCGTGAGAGAGGCGGCAACCCCCTGGTCCTCATATACACCAAATCTTACCCTGGACTGCCGGGTCTCTCAGGTGTAATTCATCAACTCGACCGGTTGTTTGAATTTCCCAGGTGTATAGGAAGAAAGAGAAGCAAAATCTAGGATGTCTAAGTTCTCTCGAGTTTAATTAAATGTTGGTGATTTCATTAACAAATCATGAGGTGTTTGGGAGTAGGAACAAGAAAAATCTGAGTTAGTGCTCAATAAAAAATAATCAGGAGTTTGTGTAAAATTTTATCGTTTAATAATGTAGCAAGTTGGTATTTTTGGGGGAGAGAAAGTCTTCCCGAAAGTTGGATGGCGCAGGGCAAGATTGTATACAACTTGTGGGCAGATAGGGAGCGATATGTGCAAGTAATGAATACGTGGGTGGCTGGAGAGGTGAAACACTGATGTGACTTGTTCGTGTTTATAATGGGTAAATGCTCTTGTATGTAGCTAACTCCCCACAAAAACAAAATCATGACTATTAATTTAGTCAAAGGATGCTGTAAGATTTTATTAACTTATTGCATATATAAGTTAACAGCACTTAGGAGTGAGGGAAATATCACACGCGTCACTATAACTGTTAGTATCTGAAGAGGTTGTGAGCAAAACTAACCCACACAGACCACAAAGACCAGTGTAAACTTCCTTAACCATTATTATTATTTGGGGTCATTGGGCTCGGGTCTCCATAAGGGTAAAGACGCATTATGATAAGGATCAATTAAGGACTGGGTACCAATCCTAATGATGAAATGAGGTTAGACTAGATGATAATGAGTATCAATAAACTCGTAGACCAATTAGGAGTGAGGAACAATTAGCCAGCCATTTCTAGAGAGCGCTAACCTAACGTAACCTAAACCTGGTCATTTACCCTAAACCTGGATGCGAATTCCCCAAGACTCTTAAGTTAATATTTCTCCGTAATTGGTGACGTGAGAGCACATTTAGTGGAGTCAAAATATAATTGCAATTTCGGTGCAGTTTTAGCCACCGTCTTTGTGTCTTTGCTCAAGTGTGTTATTTAGATGGCCTCCTCACAACACCATTTTACGGTAAATGGTGTCTTGAATACTAGCATTACAGTTTTTCATCCAATTACCTTTCTAAAGTCACACTCGGCTCTACCGCCAGGTCTACGGTATCTTCACGGTCTATGCTCACGTCCATCCCTACAGTCTACACTTACACCCACCCCTACCTACACTCACATCCACCAACCTACCTAT